GTGGCCGCGTCAGGCTGTGCAGGCCGCTGGGGCGGCGACTTCCAGCGTGCGACATTTCTCCTGTAGCGACCGAGTTCGATGTGTCTGTCGTCCACGGGCCTTTCACGTGTGCTGCAGAGTTCGAGGCCTGGGAGACGACACTTTTAGTCAAACTAATTTGGTGCCCGCGAAACCCCTGGTGAAGCGAGAGGGTGGGCGGTCTCTCTAGGGGACAAGCCAGCGTTAGGAGACCAGTGACCCCTTTCCTTCTTTTTAAACCATTTTCAAATACCCTTATTTTCAAAAGTGCATTCAGAGGCGACAGACAGGGAGTCGAACCTCTCAGCGAGCGGTCGTCCCAGCCTCAGAAGCCCCCGGCGCCCGGCGCGAAGGCAGCGGGGGCTCCGAGCGGGGCCTTCCGTTCGTCACTGTCCGCGTGTGGACGCCCCAACCTGCCATGTTTTTCTGTCATTGCAGGTGATTTTCAAAGCCAAGTCAAAATACTCTCCAGAATTACTCAAATTCCGGTAAGTACCCGGGCCTTTTCCTCCGAGAAGGCAGGTGAGAGGCTCCCGCAGGAGCCCGTCTCTCCAGCTGGGGGTGGCACACGTCGGTCCCCTGGCTGCGGGACGCTGACCCGCTTGCCGAGTGTGGCGTAGGCTCAGCTCGGGGAAGCGCGTCCTCCTTGGTTAGAAACAGGAGTCTGGCGGGGGAGGGAGGAGGGTGCGGGAGCGATGCACGCGGCAGAGGGCCTGGGGGAGCCGGGGCTCCCTGAGGCCTCCAGCTGCCGACCGCCTGTGCCCCAGAGCTGCGAGGTCCGTGAGCGGTCACCGTCACTCGCCCCACGGCTGCTTGTTTGCGGCTCCGTCCATTTCCAGCAGATGTGTTTTTGACCCCCGAGGCAGGGATGGAGTCTGCGTCCTAGAGGGGCGAACGCTCCGTCTGTGAAGCTGTCCTAAACAGCGTCAGGCAGAGCGCCACCTGAGACGCGGCAGGTGTGTGGGTCCCCGCTGTGGCCTCTGGACGTGGGAGTCACAGGAACTGGGCGGAAGAAGAGAGGCCTGTGCGGGGCTGAACAGGAGAGGTTTGCAGTCTGGACGGGAACGTGTCGGATTGCACGCCCCGTTTGTGTGCGCGGGTGGAGACGCGGGTCCCCTGTGGGAAGGGCCCATACTTTCCCCCACGCTCCCCGACAGCTCTGTGGCCCCCAGCAGCAAAGAGCCAGCGGCTGGGGGGTTGGCCTTGGCCGGGGACCTTGGAGGGGGCCCAGGCGCCCGGAGGGTATGAGGCAGGTGGTCAGGAGTCAGGGTGCCCTAAGCTTTCCCAGGGGAGCACCGAGCCGTGGGCCGACGTTTCTGGAAAGGGGACTTTGGCCACTCACTTTCTCGAATCAAAATAAACATTTAATCATTTTTTCCCTTTAAAAATATGCAAAACTGTATGCATGTCATATTTTGTTTAAACATATCTTACATTTGTAAAGACTTTTTAGTTAAAGTTCTGAAAGTATATGTAAAATCCCCATTTTACATCCAAAGAAACTGAACTTTAGAAAGTTACGTGATGGCGTCCGGCCCAGATCCGAGCAAGGAGACCCTGGCGGCCGCCGTCCCCCACCCGGCCTCGCCGTCCCCCTCACCGCTCTCTGGGCTGTTTGTTCACCTTTCTGCCAGGTGTCTGGCTGGGACTCCAGAGTCTGCGTGACAGGGCGCTGGCCCCAGCAGGGCCGTTAAAGGCGCCCGTCCCTCCTGTCTGCTGAGGTAGCCTTTCCTCTGCGTCGCGGTCTCGGGCCTCCGGCCCCTGGCTGGAAGTGGAGGCCAGTGGAGGCCGGTGGAGGCCCCGGGTGCTGGGAGCGGAGGACGAGAGAAGGCCGGGCTGGGGGGAGACGATTCGGACTGGATCGTGGAGCCGGCCTTACCTCGGAAGTGCTCAGTTGAGGCTGGGCTCGGCGTCCAAGCTTCTGCAAGTGAACCGTGGCATCAGGGGTCAGGAAGGAAGACGTTTTAGAGGTTCCAGCCTCCGCGTGCCTGGGCTTGGGGTCTTGCAGGTGAGAAGACATGCCGGGGGCGGGACAGACTCCCCCTGTGCGTGACCGCTTTCCCTGGGGGTTGCAGAGGCGAAGGGAGAAGCAGGTAGAATGCAGCTGGCCCAGAGGGTAAAGGCGAGGGGTTCCCGAAGGTGAGGGCAGGTGAGGGGTTCCCGAAGCCAGGACGCTGAGGTTGCCGCGGAGAAGCCCGTTAACTCGGACCTGACCGTTCACTCCCACAGCGCAAAGACGTCCTGGGGGTTCTCGCGCCTCGGCACATCTGTGGTCTCCTCTGACTCCTCGTTTCTCTTAAGCCAGATGCGGCCGCAGACACTTCAGGCCGCGGTTTGTCCCATGGCGTGTTCTGACACGCCGGCTTCTGCACAGACTGGCTCCCCTGACTGACAGCTCATGGGAAGTGAGTCGCGAGCCATGAGCCTAGAGCTGGTGGAAACTTCTCGCCCCAGGCCGCTCGTGTGGCAGCCCCGTGTTCCTGACGGCGATCTACGTCCTGCCCAGGACCACTTCGCTTCTCACTTAGGGCCCGTTGCACTGACGCGTCTGCCAGCTCTGACTTCTGCTGGAGGTTGCTTGTCCGGTTCAGGTTCCCTCTTCGTCTGTCTTTGATCTTTGGCTTAGGAATCTGACACTAGGCCTCGGAGCACACAGGGTACTTTGGTTTTAAACATTTTCAGCCATTACCCCTCCATCTTGGATATTTAAAAAGTATGTACAATGAGCGAGGCTCTTCTTTTCCCGTTCGATAAGAAATCTCAGATAGTGGAAGAGAAATTTAGACAATCCGTTAATGTTGTCCCCTCACGGTAGGACATGGTGAAGTCCTGTCCTGTGACCCAAACCCAGCACTTCCTGTCCGGGGGGCTGGGGGGCCGCTTCAGCTCTGGGCTCGCTGACCAGCCAGAAGCTGGTCCTCTGGTCCCATGAGCAGAGTGGCCCTCCCACGCCCCGCAGTGTCCTTATCCTGTGCTCTTTAATCTGGGCTGTTTATCCTGACCCTGGGGTTTGAGTTGAAAAGAAGTAGTTTTATTAGAGAAATGTCAAAAACACGGTTGTCATAGAAACACATCTCATGATACGGTCTCTTCTGTCGTCTCCACCCCCAACCTTAAAACTCTCCACCCCCAGATTCCTCCCTTTCTTCCAGAGCTGTGGGCCAAGGGTTGGAAAAGTTAAGTTTTATAAGGCATTTCTTTTTTATCGTTTCAAGTCTCACGACACTGCGTTTCTTGAAGACAATAACAGGCTTTTATTGTGTGGCGGGTGGTCCTGTGGCTCAGCGAGGAGGACTCGATAGAAGTCCAGGGCAGGAAGGTTTTAGGGAGAAAGGTGGCCTGGACGCCTGGAGGGCTTTGGGGACAGCGAGCAGGCTGGCTTGATGAGCACGCGGGGCACCCATACATTGATCTGGCTCCAAGGTGCAGGGCCCTGGGCGGTGCAGGGTGGGGTGCAGGTGGAGGTGACTTAGGACACTGTCACGTTCGTTCTGGCCAGAAGCGGGGGCCGGGGTGTCAGGGTGGGACAAGAGAGAGGGAATGGGAATCAGCCAGAGTTGAAACTGTTTAAACGTGCGTGTGCGTGTGCACGGGCATGCCTGTGCGTGCGTGTGCGTGTGCGTGCGCGTGCGTGTGTGTGTGTGTGTGTGTGTGTGTGTGTGTCTGTGTCTGTGAGAGAGAGAGAGAGAGAGAGAGATCAAAGAGCTTTCCAGCTAGCAGTCTGAAAAACAGCGTGGAGATGGTAGTTATTCAGAAGCCTGGAGGGGGAGCGTTAGCTGCAGGCGGCGGCTGGAGCCTCCTCGAGAACGAGGTCACGAGGTCACAGGTGTGGATCCCTGCGGAGCAAGCATTGCCGGGAGGAGAGGAAGCTTTTCCTAGGATTCACCGTTGTTGACAGGAGAGGTTCTGTGGGGGTGAGGACTGAGGGGCAAGGAAGACAAGGAGGCACAGGACGCCCTGAGCCCCCAGCAGCTCCTTGAGGATAGGGGTGTCCTCGCTGTTTCACAGATGAGGACACGCAGCTCTCTGTCCCACACCCACTTCCCTGTCACTCCAGGTGGAGGGCGGGGCGAGGGGAAGGGAGGAGGCCTGGTCCCCATGTGGGACAATTGGCGGGAAGGGTGTGGACGCCACACCCCGCGAGCAGTGATGGGGGCCACCCCGTTGGGCTGCATGTGACCCCTGATTTCCTCGCCCTTCACCCTCATGGTACTTGCCCAGTGTCCCCCAGTGGCGGGGTACCGCTTTCATAATAAAGAAAGAGGAATAAGGATTTATATCCACAGTAGTACTTAAAGCCACACCCACAAGGAGCCATCTGGAAAAGCCAGATGTCAAACCGTGATTGTTCCAGATGCTCCCTGCTCCTTACGGATAGATGTGTGTGCACGGCAGTCAGGGCCAGACACGGCACGGCTGTGCCGGGGGGTCCTTCGCAAAAGCACGCCAGGTGGTAAAACAAAAACTAGGGCTTTCAAGGGACCAGACGCACGGTTTCGGTGACTCCCAGACGATCCTGCCTTTGGTCCTCGCCCCCTGCCCCCGACTCGCCCTGGTCTGTGAGAACGTGGGGAACAGATGACTCTGTGCCAACTGCCCTGTGCAGTCTCCCCCTGCTACACAGCCCCAGCCCCCCACCTCGTGTCTCTGTGGAGGAGGCAGAGCTCGGCCTGCTTAGGGACCTGGCCCAAGGTCACCCACAGACTTCACAGTTCCCTGATCCGGCCCCCGTCTCTCAGGCATGGCACCCCTAACGGCAGATGCCACGAAGAGGGGACACTCCAGGTGGTCTCTGTAGGAAAGTGTGAAATGCGTCTGGATGCGAAGACCAGGGCAGGTGTGCCGAGCACTCCCCGTGAGCCCAGGTGGCACTCGGGCTCGGGGGACATGGTCGGGGATGCGGTGGGGTGGGGGAAGGGGGTACTCTTCCTGAGCTTGGTCTGCTGCAGGAGACACTGGCACCCCGAACTGAGCAGCTGCAGCCATGTGCGACGACGGAAACTAACAGCTCGTTGTGGCAGGGACACCAGTGGACAGGACGGGGGGCCGGCGGGAGGAGTTGGGGCGGCGCTCCACACACAGGGACCAGCAGGGACCTCGACCCTCGGTGAGAGAGTGCGGTGGGTTGGAAGGGCTTTGACCAGTGAGCACTTCCTGTAGAAAAACTTAACCTTCGTAAATCATTCATGTTTATTTTTCCAAAAAAATGTATTTCTCCTTGAAAAGATTTGAGTGTGTCACCGCACATGACGTTAAGTCTCCGAGACCGCACAGCAGCTCCCGTCCCGCCCCACGCGCCGGCCGGACTGTGGGTGGTGGCCCTGGCCGCCCTGTGTCCAGGTCCCCCGGGCCCTAGCGCTGTGCCTCTGGCACGCCTCCCTGCTCAGCTCCTGGGGCCATCGTGTCTCCTGCCCGAAGGTCCCTTCATCCCATCTGTGCTCGACACTGCGTCCCAAGTCGTGATTCCCAGTCTCCGACGTGGCCACGTCTGTCGTTCCTCAGTTCGCGCACGTGTTTCTGTCCCGCCCCGTCCGCCCCCCCGCGGGGCGGTGCAGACACTCGGCCGTGTCCTTCCGTCCTCCCTGCTCCAGGCGCTTTGTCCAGTGTCTTCCCGGCCCCTCCGGGCTGCCGGCGCTGGCCACTTCT